TACACTCATAACAGAACAAAGGAACTTAAAGGGATAGTTCAGATTTTTTTCATGACCTGGCTTCACCAATGAGTTTCCTGTTGGCAGTGAGAACAGAGGATGTAAAGATGCTACCTGATTAAAAACGCAGGCAGTAGGTAAACATTTGTTGGCGTCCATTTAGATAAACCCAGATGTTATTGTTATATTGTTCTTTTAAGACTGTAAAAGTCTGCTCTGCTGTTGGTGCTGTTAGATTAGTCTTCACTTGGAGTTTCAGGAGTTTCAGACACTAAATAACAGTGACAACAGCTGCAGGTAGACAATACCTACTTTAACAGGACTGCAACTGGAGCAGCTTCCCAAATTTCTTCTGTTATAATGCAGGAGTTTTATTTCTTTACTTTGTTTACAGGTGCAACCTGTGAAGTGACTGAAAAGCATCCCCCAGAGGTGGGGAAACTCCTGTTATCATGATGTCAGTGAAGTCCACGCAGCAATTTGATTCCAGAAACTTGATTCTTTTGTTGCCTCCTGTTGGTGAGGACAGAGCCTCACTCAGCAGATAACCTGCTGAGATCTCCACATCCTCCAGAGAACTTAAAAAAAAATATATAAAAACACTATCCACCTGATTTATCTGTCCATCCCGCTCATGTTCTCTCCACATTCGACCCAGAAGGCCATCGGTCTGAGTTCCAGTCACAGCACAGCGGTCTCCAGTTGATCTAATGTGCACCGAGGACCTGTGTTCTGAGAAGCAGCACCTCTCTCAGTAGAAGCGTTTGCGCTTGTTTTCCTTCCAGCGGCCGTAGAGCACCATGCCCACCACGGCCAGCACGGACAGGCCCAGGATGGAGAACAGCAGGGTGAAGAACAGCTGCAGCCCACTCATCCCCTCCTCCTCCACGTCCACTGGGAAGCCCAACAGGAAACTACCATGAAGCCTCAGCTTTGAAGGACCATTTTCAGCCACGCGATAGAAATGTTTCTACCTTGAAACTGGTACATGTTGTCCACCCGAGGGACGGTGATCGCCTCTTCCTCCTCCTCTTCCTCTGGAGTCCTCTCTACAGTCAGCTGGTACACTTTCATTGAGATGATGTCATGGTTATCTGTGCGACAAGCCGGTGGGCAACATTAGAATATGAGACTTAGCGAGATTTCTTTACTTCATCTATTTTGAACAAAAAAAAAAATGCATATACATGTGTATATGTATTCTTGTAATCTTATGTTTTGCAACATAAGATTTATCTACCGTACTTGTCTGAAAAGGAGTGAGAACTTTACAGTTTTTTTTTAATTCCCACTTCATTATGCTATTCTTCAATATACCCTTATGTTACATGTGACAGTATAGAACATAGCAATGTCTTATATAGATTTTTAAATAAGATAAAAATCTTAGAAGTTGTGTTCTCAGTGCGTGTTTCTACATCTCTGTCTGGATATCAATAGATATACTTTCCTCCAAGCAATAGCATTTAGAAATACATTTCCAAATAAATTTACATAGGTCATAATTAAAATTTAAAAATCTGCCAGTAGAACTACTGCTTTTATGTAAGCAGTATTAAAGATGTATTCACATAAAACTAGCTCCTATATCTTGCTGTAAAGCTACTTTCTAGTTAGATTTTTCTTATTTCAAAGTATACTAAGATATTTGCACTAGAACCCAGACCAAAAATACTTCGATTTTGTGTGTCTGGGCTGCACTTTGGACAACCTGCTGTAGACTGTTTGAATGCTGGACACCTGATAGATCTCCAGTAGCAGAGGAGGCACCCAGGTAGTATCCATTGGGAAGCCTCAGCCCACTGACTTCAGCACAGTCTCTCCATTCCTGTTTCCCATCCACATCCACCATGAGCTGCAGACACACAGAGGAACACATCAGCAGTTTGATACACTAGGAGTTTATTTATGGATTTACAGCAGAGGAAAGTCAAAGTCATTTTGTTTTACATCGGTGGCATCCAAACAATTTAAGTTAAAATAAGTCACGGGCAACAAGACCCTAGAAACACTGAATTCATGTTATGCTTTAGCTGCTAAAGACAAAAAATGAGGTTGTCAAGTTAGTTTCTCAGGAACTGCAGTGGAAGGCCACTCGAAATCATTTCACGGGCCAAAACTGGCCCCTGGGCTGCACTCTGAAACCCCCTATGTAAGATTTCATATGACTTAACCTTAGTAGCTGAATCCCCCCTTCCACAGAACAGCTCTAAACATGCATCAACTCTTTCATGGTGTTCAGATGAGCAGTTTCTCCCTAGTTCCACTAGATTAAAAAACCGTTGCCATACCGTCAACTTGTTTTTAGAGTATCTGACCAGCAGGAAGGTGTCATAAATGGAATTGCGCGTCATGGCTGTGCATCCTCCGAGCTCGGTGGTCCGCCCGTCACGGTCGTGGTCGTACGTCAGGGTTCCGTTTCCCAGCATCACTGAGACGTACGGAAAGGTCCTCTGCAACAGAGGAGCCAACGGGAGTTAAAATCTCCCTGAGAGAGGAGCTCGTCTCACCCAGGGTCATCCGCAGGACCCCGGAGCGATGGCAGCCATGTTGTTGGGTTGTGTCTGAGCAGCAGGTCAGTTTCCAGTCCTGCAGAGACGCCGACTCACTTCCGGTCTCTGCTGGAGCTGCCTCACTCACAGAGAGCGCCGCTGAGCCCCAGCAGAGACGGGGAGACGTTACGCTGCAGCAGGTTAGCATGCTAACTAAGCTCCGCCTACACCTGTCTGCATGTTCAGCAAAACACATCTGAATCAGAGTGTCTTAAAAAGAATGAGAAGCAGAACAAAAACAAGACATGTGGGCTTATTTATTTTATTTTTATTTTTTAACAAATCTAAAAAGTGTGGAGTGCTCTGGTATTCAGCTCCCTCAATCAAAGCACTGCAGAAACACCTTTTGCTCTAGCTACAGTTTCTTCAGGTATTTTTACAGTTTCTCAACTGGACTTTGACTAGGCCATTCTAACATGAGTGCGTTTCCCTGGTGGAAAGTGAAGTCAAGACTTCAGCAACTTCTGGTTTGCTGTCAGAGTTCTGTTGTATTCCCTAGATCCATTTTCTGACCTACTGAGCAGATTTCCTGTTTTGTCTGAGGAAAAGCATCCCCACAGAATGATACTGCCACCACCCTGTTTTACACTGAGTTGATGTGCAGCATTAGTTTTCCAACACAGAAGCTCCAGCACAAAGGTTACATTTCGGTTTCCATCTCAGCTGGTTCAGTTTTCAGATGATGCACTGAACAGAGATCCACAAACAAGGAAACGTCTAATTATCATATTAGAGTTCAAAGTTGTGTTTCTGATCAGAATTATCCACTTTTTTTTCTTTTAGAATTCATTCTCATCATCCCAACCACTCTGTGACTTCAGCATGTCAGAGTTTGTGACTTTCAGTTCCAGTTTGAGCTCTGCAGCAGGAGCACCAGAACGGCTCCAAATCAGCCAAAGTCTGCACCAATTCCACCTGAGTGGGACTTTGAATAGGACATCATGCTGGAAACTCATCCCATGCGGGTGAATTCACATTACGCCTCCACAGGAAAGTAAAAAAAAAAAAAAGCCTCGATGGCTGCTGTTGCCACTGTTACCAACTGATACAACTGAAACCAATTAAATGAGTAATAAACCATTTATAATTAACAAAACACTGAATCCCAGAGCTACAAGAAATTATTGTCAACAACAACTATTCTGACTTGATCATTTAAACTGAAAACATCAGGCTGAGAACAGGGTTCAGAGAGATGTGGGAGGTTTTACTCACATCGTGGGTCTTATCTGTGTTTGGGTAAGTGTCCACAAATATTCCAAGTCCAACAAACTGGTTCATGTTGCCGAAAACAGGACCTGGAGACGTTGAGGCGGAGCAGAGAGCGTGGTGAGGGAGGAACACAGAAATTCAATTCAGTTCAGTTTATTTCTATAGAGCCAATTCAGAATAAATGTCCTCTTAAGGCAATTTGCAAAAAAAAAAAAAAAAAAAGCATTTTACTTCAAACAGATATACATTCTAGATGACCCCAGCTACAGCAGACTCATTAGTCAAAGTAGTTTCAAACTTTTCTATGCAAGGAAACCCAGCAGATCGCATGAAGTTATTGACCCACAGCATACACCGCTCCTGGACCAGCAGGGGGCGACAGTAGAGAGGAAAAACTCTCCTTTAACAGGAAAAAACATCCAGCAGAGGTAGGATAGATGTAGGATAGATGTAGCATTCAGGAGGACTAATGAGCTCCTCTGCCTTCATCCATTTAATTTCCTTTAATTTAATTTTCTTTTGGGATCAATAAAGTATTTTTGCATTAGGATTACATTTTCTTCATCCAGTCAGTTTTTGATGCCTTACAGCTTTGACTGTGTCTGCAAAGTACTGAGCATAAAAACATGAAATCAAAGGAGTGTCTTCAGTACTTATCTGTGTCATTGTTGCCAGCTTACCGTTCTGCATGCGATCTCTGGTTAGCCAGATGGCAAGTCCGTCTCCGTTTAGGTTTTTCTTCCCGATGCCATGGATTTTAAAGTGAACTCTAAGTTCCCAATCCCTCAAGACGAACGGCTGCACCGCAAAAAATGAAGAGCAACAGAGGAGAACATGACACTAATGTACACATCAAAACCGACACTGGGGAAGGTTTGCTACAGTGAAACTACATGTGTAGCAGCATATTGTGGTGGCATCGTTTGTGAGCAGCTGTGACAGAATGAAGCAGGAAGTGGTTGGGTAACATGGAAGCATGTGATGCAGCTGCAGACTTACGATCCGGCTCCACACCGCTCCCTGTCTGCTCTGCTGGTCTGGGGTCAGCCTCACATGGTCAGGGGTCACCATGGCCGTTCCCATCAGATCCCACTGGGAGGAGCTGGAGAAGCCCAGTCCTGCAGAAACAGGACAGGTCACCTTTCAACTGGAGCTGCACCCTTAATTCTCACTCTTTTTTTTATTTTTTTTAAGCATTATAATTATATCAAATATTTTTTAGAAGTGTGTACAGTAGGATATTTGAACGAGAACGGCAGTCCCAAGGTCATTATCTTTATATTATCACATCCCTAACAAATATAACAAATATCTGATTTTTACTAAACCCAAGTGAGTTCATCCTTCACTTTTCCCACAGTAAAGGTTACCTTAGAGATAAAAACAATTAAAATTAACTAAAAGAAATGTTATGTGATACAATTTATTTCTGTTATTAATAATGTGATAATATTATACATACTATGGCAGGAAAAAGGTAAACTAAAATAGAACAAAGTTTTGCGTTTTCAAAAATGTCTCACACACACCACTTATACACCTGACTGGTAAGAGAACAAAACACTAATTTAACAACAACAACAAAAAAAAACAATTTCAATAACATGTATAACAAAATAAAACATAAGTTAACTTTAATTTTAACACAGATCAACACAGTAACTGAACCACTAGGAATAATGAATATTTGTTACATTTTAACAATCCAAGCAAATCATGTTAAGGTAAATTACCTTCCTGTTGAAATTCATGCTTAAACACAAAGAAAGTTACAATAAAAATCCCTAAAAAAAAAAAAAAAAAAAAAAAAAAATCACGTTTTGTGTCATTTATAAATAAAAATAATTGTGGTCATTCTATCTGAGCTAAAACAACAGAAGTTGGTTCTGATTTCACTTCAAACACCAAGAAAAAAAGTGTGTCTTATATATCTTACTTCAACTGTAAATAACACTTTCCAAATGTATATATTTAATTATATGTTAGATTGCACTTTATTACAAAACTGTGCAGTCTGAATGTCAAGCACTTTCCAAACTGAGAGCACCTCATTGAAATTCAAGCATTTTCAACGATTTCAAGCTCTTGTATGGATCCCGATCACAAGTGCTTCTGACTCATACATTTACATATTTGCGTTATCATGTGCAAGTCTGAAAGCTGCCATCTGCACTCCAAATGCTTCAACAATCAGGGGGCCTCAAGTCCAGCATCCTAACTTCAAGCTGCAGAATAAAGGGCCTTTTGGCTGAATATTACAGGTCAGTTACCTGATGACCTCATTATGAAGACAGAACGTAATCACGTAGTGAGAGTACATTGAATTGTACAGTTTTCATTTCTTTTGGAGAATAGAAAAAAAATCTTCAGTATTTGACGATCAGAACCAATCGATGTGAAATTAGCTGACTCCGACAAGGAGTCAACTGATTAAATATTCAAACTGAAGACCAATGTTAACACCCTTTAAATGAAGCATCCAAAGCACCTATCAGTGAGCTCAACCTAAACCAAATCAAACTACATCCGCCTGTGGAGAATGTGAAAACTGCACTGACTTTACTGGTTTCCGTTTGGTTCCGTCTGCCGAGATTTAATACCAGCTCTGCCCTCAACAAGCGCTGCCATTTAGTTAGGAGAGCAAAGTTCCTCTTAGTTAATTATTATCCACTGCAGCTAATATGGCGAGTCGACAAGCTAGTTAACAAAGGAGCTCAACCCTGAGTTGTCGGGAGGATGTGCACTATTGTTGGTTCTTATTAATAAGTTTGAAGCGGTTTTAAGCTGTCAGCCACCGTGCTCGCTAGCGCTGCCAGCCTGACAGTAAACTTACCTCGATACGGTTTCACCAGAGAATACTCCCGCTTCAGAAAGTCCTCGGAAAACTCCTGCTGGTCTGCCAGCGACTGCTGCGTCAGAACACAAAAAGCCACCAGGACGCAGAGTAATTCACGGAGGAGATCTAACTGGAACACTGAAAACACTGAACTTCTTAATCGAGCCATGTTTAATTTGCTGACATTGGCTGCCATCTTTACACTCCCACTTTAAATAAATCACGTGATTCTATTCGCGCCTGCGCGGTGGTTGCTGGGACTCATTTTAAATAACAGGGCAATGCCGCCGCCATGTTGGTCAGGGTCTTTTAAAGCACTACTCTGTTTTCCAAATATTATCATGCCAATGAGTTATGGATATATATCCTAGATGTGTGTTTATAAAGTATTTTTTGTATTAAGTCCAACAGAAGACGTATTATTCTGAAATACAGAAAACAGCTAGGTTAGTGCCAGTGGCCCCCAAGAGGGGAAAAATCCTGGTTATCCAGAGAGTCACTCTTTAGTGAAAAAGTTTTTTTTTTCATTGTGTGGTGGCCAGGATGAAGTCTGCAAACACAAGTCTGAGTGTGGTACAGATGTTTGTGCATTGTCAGCACCTCTCACAGATCAATATGCAAGCAGAAGTAGGATTTTTTTCATTATGAACTATATGTAACAATGGTGTCTGGATTGTCAGTGGATTAATTTGGAGTCAGCTCCTTCCTGAGTGGGGTTCCTGACCCAGACTATCCTGAAGGGTCTTGTAAAGCAGTTGGTTCGATTAATGGACCAGACCTGCTATCGACATATGATAGGAAGTGCCAGATATCTGTCAGGATCCTGTGAGGAATTACAGTAATGGACTACAGGGTGGTACCATAGTAGCTCCTTGGAGACATACAAAAAGACAAAAGCTGGAATAAGAGAACAAACATGAGGTGTTTATGACCAATCTGGGACCTGGGGTCCTTAGCGCTTCCTGTCCATCTGTGTCTCCAGGGAATATAAGACTCTCTTGCACCAGGACTGCTGGAGAATTCCGGCTGAACCTTGAAACCTGAAACATCACTGTCTAGCACTTCTCCGGACACCCACACACCACCATGTGTGTATGGTATAATCCGCGCCAGAGACGGATACATGCCGCTCTGGGCTGAGTGGGGGGCAGAAACTGTGGCCCGGCTTACTGGCCAGATAGACGTGCAGGGCATTCTGGGCACAGTCGCCTCCTGCTGTGACAGACATCAACTGTAATCCATGTTTGCAAGGTCAAGAGATATTTTGATATCCGTTGGTCACCATGAGCTTTAGCGTTCATCTTTATTAAAACTGTCTACACCTGTTGCAGTGTAAACAATTGGGCGCGAATGTTTCCCAGGGGATGGGGGGTGGGTATCATTTCTTACTACCATGCAAGAAATGACACTCCATGGTGCCATGTGTCCCAAACAGGAAGGTAGTTTTAAGGGGGGCCTATTGTGTGTTTTCCAGGCACATAGTGCCATTGTGTAGCGCAATCAGGTAACTATGTTACCTTCAGTTGGCATAAAAATGCTGTATATTTCAAAGATATTTTACAATAAATTTGACTTTGCAATTTGACTCTGTGAAATTGGGCCTCTGTCTCTTTAAGAAGCTTCTGTTTTTTCTGACACTTTGGCTTCAGCAAGTCATCACAATAATGTTATTCCGTTATGCAGTTTACCACGGTTCATAGGAGCAATGGACTGAGATGTAGGTACTATGATGACCTTGTTTTCTAATTGCTGCTGCTGCCATAAGGAGCTGAGTGAGGAAGGAATAAAAACCTGATTTAAAGGCCGCAGCTGCGAAGAGAAGCTTTGTGGAATGAGAAAGAGCAAGCGTTTAGGAATGGATTCCTCGGGAGATTCAAGGATTACTTAAACATGCATGAAAGAATCAAAACAACCAGGTTTTCTTGAGGGAACTATATTATGACATAAAGCTACGTCATGTTAGCTTTACCCCCATTTACAATCTTATCAGGGTAAATGTTGCATATGACACTGTGATCCTTAACTGGATTTTAATAAATGCCCTGCAATGTGAATTGTCCACGCTGACCCCGCCTCTCACCCGTTGACCCCTGGAGATAGACACCAGCAGCCCTCACAACCCTGCTAGAGATAAGGGTGTAAGATAATGGATGGGTGGATTTTAATAAATGTAAACTTTTGAATGTGAATGTAATAAAAAGAATTATCTCGTTACTTTGACATTTTCAAGTAGAAACACAGTTCATCCAGGTGTTCGCTGTGTTCTCTGGTCCTGGGGATTCAGCCAGTCAGCACAAAGGAAAATGAATGGCAGTCCTGGATTGGATGCTTAGCAGCCAATAGCGTGTCAAGTAGCTTTGCACTTTGGTATTTCAGCTTCCCAAGCTTCATTTTTTTTAAATATCTCACATATGGTCTACAAAAAAAAAAAAACTGTGAACAGGCAAATGTTTCGCAATCGAGTTCTTCAGAAAAATTCACAAATGTGGAGGTCCACTGTAATTTATGCTAACAGAGGGCAAAGGTTGACCTTATTTTAATGACACACAGTGATAAAAAAAGAAATACTTTCTTTACACACAGCATATGGAAATATCGGACTTATACATCTTAAAGGGCTCTCTAAACTAATTCATTTTTATGAAATGTTGAGGATATCAAATATCAAACTTTTAGTCTTGTTTTATGTTCTGTTCAGCTTTTTAAAATGTGAACTGACAGTTTTAAATCATTTGAAAGGTAGAGGCTGTCAGAAGCATTCATATCACCGTTTATGAGATAAACCTGACAGTGTGGGTTGACGAGCTAAATCCAACATGGCGCTGACTGCCCCTATCCTCCATCACCACACACACACACACACACACCGCTGCTGGGTGAGACAGTGAACGATTAAATAATGAGGAGACCTTAGTGCTTCCTCTGGCGGGACCGGCTGCTGTTAATGAACAACCACTTCTAGCCGACAATAAGTGTCTCCTTAAGCAGTGTGGACATTAGCAGCAGGAAAACACCTTTGGACATAAATATTCACACTATTCAAATCAACGGACCTGAGGGAATATCGTCACATCAGTCAGTGGAGCTGAAATACAGTCGTAGCTCGTTTCAGACGCACTCAGGGTCTCTTTATACCCCCCACCTCCTTACAGTTTGTGCTGACATGAAAGAAAGCAGATCTTCCCTAGTGAAACTCTTCTTCTAGCCTGCTGTTAACTGGACAAATTTCCTGAAATTTTCCTACCAATATGAGTGGCTGGCTGGCTGGATGTAGGAGGTGATATTTCTGGGACATACTTTGTGAAAAATACAACAAAATCTCCTAATTTTTATATACAGTTAGTGTCTTGTTTGTGTCAGTTTCAGCTTTTTTTTTTTTTTTTTCTTTTTTTTTTTTTTTTGCTAAACTTCCTGTTTCTGAAAAGTTTATCAGAGAGGAAGGAACAGTCAGCATCATGTCACAGATGCAGAGTGCTGGAACCCGAATGAACATTGAGATGCAGAGTTTGCTTCTCTGTTGCTACTCCAGAAAATTAGCAACAGTGTGCCAGCATCTCTTAATTATCCTGAAAGTGTTGAGTTTACAGTGTTGAGCCTCTGAAAGCTCAAACAAAAGACAGGTGGATGAGTTGTTAGGAGGACTAAGAGCTCTCCATCACTTCAAACAGCTTGTTTTAAAGGCATTCAGTAGATTGTCTGCAGAAATGCCCTCCACACCATCTTTAACTGTTATTTCCAGGCTATTAGCTGAGCAAACAGTCTGTTAGTCCAACACACTACATATTTTATCCCTCTGCAGGTTAAATAGTAAGCAAAATAACCTTTTACTGCAAAACTTTCAGAAGTAGTAAGAAATACCCAGATATTATTTCACCACTGATTGATTATTCCTCCAGGAAGTTAAAAAAAAAAAATCCATCAAGGATCCACCAGAGAGATCCAAGAATGTGTGAGCTTACTTTGCAATAATCTAAAAATCTTAACAAACATAATGGAAACAAAAATACAAACACTTACAACGACATAGAATCCAGACACAACCTATCACAATCCAATAGGATTTAATACAGGGGCGTCCATTTGCGGCACCAGATTTAGTGTGACCCCTGAATGAAACCAGTTTGTCTCACCAAATCAGTTTGGACAAAACTCTTAAAAAAGTTTTCAAATAAAGAGAGACCGAAGTCATGTTTTTATTGCTGAGAAAAGATTTTCAGTTTCAGTCAGGCCCAAAACAATGTAGTAGTGGCTGCCTTTCTTTCAGCAGAGAAACGTTTTTGAAGTTTTGAATGATTCACACATTCCTTTCCTACAAAAGAAAAAAAAATCTGACTATTTTCTTTGTGGAATTAAAATTCATGCTTAGTTGTTGTTGAGCAGAGAAAAAATTATCAGTAGAACATTTGGTGTTTTAGTTAAAAGGAAAAACATTGAGTATCCTTGAGTTGTTGCTGAGTTTTGCCCACATAACAAAAAGTTTGAACTCCCCTGCTTTAACAGATCAGTCTGCATGACTGCTTGATTGAGTTTATACACCTGTGGTGATGAAAGGGATTAGACCAGTGGGTCTTAACCTGGGTTCGATCGAACCCCAGGGGTTCAATGAGTCGGTCTCAGGGGTTCGGCGGAGCCTCTGCCGCGGAGGTAAAGACACACTTGTGTAAAGTCGTGATGACGCCCCGCTTTGCCATCACTTGCTGCAGAGGATCACGTTACATTGCTTGGCCAATCAGAGCTGCGGAGGAGCACTGATTGAAGGAGATGCACTCTCAGCATGTACTTCTAAATCTGCTCCTTAGTCGCATCTTTTCGGGGTTGATACTGCCTCTAGTGGTGTGGGGGTGGTAACATAACTAATATAATTACATTACTAAATCAGAATACCGCAAAGTCTTTATTATTTATTATAAATTTTTCATTCTCTTAAGAATGTAGAGCTAATTAAATGATCTAAACAAGACCTTAAAGTGGTTCCAGTTTCTCTCGATGGCCAACCTGTTGAAACTGTGGCAAATTTGGGTCGTTCCTGGACAGTCAGCTTAACTTTGCTGAAAACACTGACTATATTTTGAAGAACTGTTCTCAGAGACTCTACCTTTTAAGAAGACTTAGTGATCATGGGGTGACCCAACTAGACTCTAGTTGGGTCACCCCTATGTCTTGAATTTGGGGGGAGGGGGCATCACCTTTATTTATCACTACAGAAGGGTTCAGTGCGCATATGAA